GTGAGCAGGATACATGATGTCATAACCAATGTTAAGACATCCTGTACTAATCAAGTTGTTGTGCAGATTTATTGTTCCTGAGAATTTTCAGGAATCTGGTGTGCTATTCTGAGTTGAAGTATATTGACTAGATCAGATGCTCACGTGGATATTAGGTTAACCTTGCTTAACCCTAATCTGTTATGATGAAAGCCCAAGACCAAGTCTTTAGGTTAACTTTGGTTAACCCTAGCTATTTTTATGGAAGCCCAAAGATGAAGAATATAATGCTTATATATTTCTCACGAATCCTAATGGTGAGATGCACTTTTGAAGAGAAGATCAATAAGGCATTTTGTAGTTGTGATAGTTTTAGTAACTACTGTGAGCTAAACAATTATAACTTGATAAGTGACTTGGTGTAGGATTTGGTTGTAAGGGTTGTGTATCACTCAAAGCTTTGAAGCACGAGTGTTGTGTCTCTTGATTAAAGCTTTGAAGCAAAATCAAGCGTGTGTATTGAAGAATGTCTTCATAATCTTATTAATTAGTAGAGTAGTATCACTACTGTGATTGAGGGGAAGAGAGTAGGAACTCAGGTTTAAGTAGGACTTAGATTGAAGTTGCATTGGGTAGGTCTTAAGTGAAGGAGATAAACTGGTTGGTTTATTCCTAAATTAATACCTCTTATAGTGAATTTCCTCCCTGGCTTTGTAGCCCCCAGATGCAAGTGTGGTTATACACTGAACTGGGTTAACAATTGATTGTGTTCTTGACTGTCTTTTAAGATACTGTTTGGTTTGTGTACAATTTGTCAGATACGGTGTCATAACATTCACTATGACATTAAGTATCTGTTGCCAGAATTTCAAGTTGTAACACTCCAAAATGATTAGATTATTTATTTAATTATTTAATTGATTTATGATAAGCATTTTTTATGTATTTGTGAGTATATGTGATGCTTTAGTGAATATGATGTGTAATGTGATGTTATGTATGGCATAATGGAAATTAAGTGATATTGAGTGTTTTAAATAATTTTAGATAATTAGAGTAATTATTTGGAATTATTTTAATTAGTGAAATAGATAAAATATATGATGTAGTGAAACAACCGGCTGAACAATCAACTTACAACGAAATCAATGAGGTCGCCATCGAATGTTTTTTATCCCACGCGAAGGGAAAGGTGAACATCGAGTAAACCTGAGAAGGGTGAAATCAAGGTCGAACGACCAAGAGATATAGGTAAGGGAGTCTGTTACGCGAGGGGAAGGTATTAGCACCCCACACGCCCGTAGTACTTTATGGTATCCACTCTTGTTGTTCTAATCAAAGGGTGTGTAAGAATCTATGTCTAAGTTGTACAGGGAATGCATGCAAAAGAAAGGAGAAAAGAATGTAGGGAAAATAAAAGTTGTTCTCGTTCGGACCCTACCCCGATGCCTACATATCCCTTTTAAGGAAGAGCAGCCGTAGTTCGGCTCACATGTTTTTGTTGGTTTTATTTTTTAATGAACAATATTAATTTCTCCTTTTGCTGCAACTCGACCTTTGGAGACTTATGCGTCAGAACAAAAGTGAATTAACATGTTCTTTTGAAAAGAGTTTTGAAAGAAAAGCCTGTAGGAAAAAGGAGTTTGTGTTTGTTGGTGTTTTCGCTGCAGATAACAGCTAGTTAATCTCAAGAGAGAGATTTTATCCATTTCTCTACTAATTCATGAAATAAGTCTTTGAAACTTGAACCACACCAAAGTTTAGAGTAAAAGAACAATAAGGTCGAGAAGAAACCCGCTTATCATCTCTCATACTTAACAAAGATATGATTCTTGTTAGTAAATTTTTAAATATTTCGAAGTTTGAAAGAAAAAGAAGTTTTAGTTTTAGATGCTCATGAAAAAGGGAAGAAAAGAGTCTAAGGGAGATTATTCTATTTCTAAACCTAATGTTATTATACAATGGTAGCCCTAAGGTTTGGGTTAAAAAGAGAAACATCTACCTAATGTTAGCATGCGTGTTTTACAACTTAAGGTTTAACCTGCGTCCGAATGGAGCAAGCTCATCATAAGGGAACATGGTATGTACAAGGATAAAGCAGTAAAGCTTATAAGCTCAAGAGAGAACACTTAAAGATATCCTATCTAAGTTAGCATGCCTAATAAAGTCTAACAAAACTATCCTATAGGGAACATGCAATGAGAGCGAAGTCGTGATATCAATTTCTAAATTGAGTGACTCATTGATCAGCAAGAAATAAAGGAAAGCGATAAAATCCTATAGGGAGCATGCACTGAGAGCGAAGTCATGATCTCAATTTCTAAATTGAGTGACTCGTCGATCAACAACCAAAGAAACAAACACAAGCACAACACATATAGCCAATGAAGTGCAGAATGTCTGCCACGGGTCTTTAAACAGTGACTTCGAGCACACGCTCTTTATTTCATACTTCTCATGGTATCTAGAAAGCAATAAAGAAATGAAATAAAGAGCGAAGAAGTACAAGGGTAGTAGCGGAGACTACCAAAGTGAGCAAATCGTCAAGAGCGGATGAAAGTAATGGAGAAACAGGAAGTACGCGTCGAGCAAGCTTCACCAAGAAACAAACAAAGTCAAAAATAATATCCAACTAAGATAAAGGCAAACGCGTTTTGAGAATTCAACGCGTAGTCAGAAGTTCCTGTTATGTTACATGATCGAAAGCAGAAAAATGTACCTTGCACAATGAACAAACGCGTCAAAAATATATTATGGCGAAGCGACGCAAAAATATGGATAAAACTAAAAGAAGACAAGTATTTTTAACTAGTTTTTATGTAAGGAAAATTCTAAAAAAACTAGAGAATTAATTCCTAAAATTTCTATTAGAATCTACTATTTTCATGGTCTTTTATATTATTTTTATCATGTATTTTATTGGCAAAAATTAACACAAAATAAAGTCCTAATTCTAATGAAGAAATAGTGAATTCAGGGGAGTTTAAACTGGAATCTAGGGAGTGTAGGCTAGAAAACAGGTGCCAGGCCCATTCTGTATAATCCAATACTATCTTGTTTTTTGCATTCACAAGACAACAGGTTCTAAAAAAAACAGTGTTATGGGCTTGAAAAAACTCGGTCCACTTCCAACTTTGTTTCAGCATTAGGCTCAAAAACACAAAATAGGCTTTAGCAAAGGAGTTTTGGTCCAGGGTAAGGTCCGACCCAACACCATCATTCTATCACCATTTTCAATAATAATCTGTTAACATTGAATTAAAAAACTTAAAAAAATTAAAAGAGGAAAAGCTATAAAATGGTGCGTTTCATTTGGTTCTAGGGTTAAATGCTTCAGATCCTTTCAAAATCTTCTTCCTCCCTCTCTCTTCTTCTTCGCGAACGTCGGTGTCCGTTATCATCCACTCTGCATCCTAACGCTACTGCTATGAAACAAACTCACCACCACAAACCTCCATCCACATCGTACATCCGCTCAACCTTTATGTACCTTTCCTCCGCAATCTCTGTCCGAATTGGTTTCTACAACAATCGTTATCTTTCCGAAACTCACAAGAATAAGACAATCTAACAAGACCTAACGCTAAATCATTCGTTCTCTATGCTCAATTGGACCTCAATCCATGTTAGAGTGTGAAAAGGACGCAACGAAGTCGAGAGAAGTCGAACCTGAACCGGTAGCTCGAAGAAGATTAGCTTCAGAGAACCATAGGGGAGATTCCTGCCAGGTAATATGATCTTGATCCTTTCTAGCTTCTTATGATTTGTACAAATCTTCTTTCTTCTTCTCCAATTCTACTTCTACTGTGCAACTCTGCGAACTCTATTTTTGTGTTCTGCTGCGAATTGTTGTTGCAGAAACTGTGGTGTGATTCGTTGTTGTTTTCCGATTTTGCAGATAAAGGTTAAAGATGATTCAGTATTGCAGAGAGAGAGGCTTGTTGTAGAAGGTGAACAAATAATCGGATGCAGCAACGTGACGATGGTGATGGTGCAGGATGTTGAAGCATGAAGGTGTTGAAAGATTAAGGCGATACAAATTGGTTACAGAGATGAAGATATGAAGAGGAAGTCGAGATAATTGAGAGAGATTTTCAGAATCTTCTATGGAGTCTTTTTTGTTTTTTCCTACCGATTCCCCTGTTCTCGTGAATGAAGGTTTGTTATAGGTTGATAAATCAGAGCCCCTGGATTGAATGAGTTGGTTACATGAGGACAATTCTGAGCCATAGATTTGGAGAGTTAGTTAGAGATTTGGATGGCTCCGATTTAACTGATGAAAATTTGGTAAGCTATATCCCTGATATTCCTTCCCCTCTGATATTTTTTCTTCTTTTTATTTTCCTTCTGCTGAGAGTTTTTTGTAACTGAATTCTTTTTCTTGACAGTTGAAATAGTGAGGAATTGGTTAGAAGTTCTGTTAGTTGAATAGGTTCTTTGACCGTTAGAAAGGTTAGAGATTTTTATGAAAGTTTGTTACATTCTGTTATTGGTTGAACCGTTAGTTATTGATCTGTTAAATGTTAGTGAATTGGTTAGGGGTTAAGGAATCTGTTAGAAGTCAGTTTTGTTTTCTGTTATCTTTTCTATTACAGTTAGTTTGAGTTAGTTGGGTGGTTGGAAACTCTTAAGAGAAAATAGTTAGGGGTTATTAGAGAGCAGTTATGGTAGTTGGCTTTTTTTGTTAATTTGGATTCAGTTTAGGAGTGAAATTATGTTTTGTCTTCTGTTTAGAAATTTGGTTGAAAGTTGGTTGGTTTTTTTGGAAATTAGTTGGTTCTGTTTATGCAGGGTAGTTTAGTCACAAAAATTCTGTTAGTTAGAGATTGAGGATTTAGTTTAGAAACTTTGTTTTGCTAGTTAAGAGATCTTAGAATGTCTATTACACATGCTAGAATTTTCTAAATTCACTTTCTGATTCTTTTGTTCTCTTTTATCATATCAGTCTGATTTTTTTATACTTCTACTGATAAAACTGATGCAAGGTAGCATTATCGTTTTTGATTTCCTGAACTGTGATGTTAATTGGTTTTCTGCTTCTCATCATAGGTGGCATCCTTCTCAAGCCTCACTATAAAGTCAACAACTGCGACATCCACAGTTGGGACACGAAATGACATACGACTCAACTTTCCATTCAAAGCAGGAAGCACTTTGCCGATAGCCTTAGCAGTTTCAGTATTGCTGGGAATGATGTTAAATGAAGCAGCTCTTCCACCTCTTTAATCTTTGCTTAATGGTCCATCAACAGTCTCTTGGGTGACAATGATGGAATGGACAGTGGTCATGAGACCCTCAACAATGCCAAACCTGTCATATATAACCTTTGCAAGTGGGGCAAGGCGGTTGGTGATGCAACTAGCATTATTCATTTTTGTTAACACTGAAAACAAACATGGGAGCATCTTTACCTGGAGAAGAAATGGTGACCTTCTTGGCATTAGGGGATACAATTGTTTTGGATTGTTCTGTTATGGAATTTTAGCACCTTTAGGATTTTAGGAATTTTGTTCGAGTGCATTTTTGTAATAGTTTTTTTCTTTTTGGATTGTTGGTATAATAGGATTGTAATGATTTTATAATGAATGGTGGAATTGGATGAACTTGAATATTATAGTGTGAACTATAAATGGATTTTCCCTTGTAATTCACTTGGAACCAAGGTAATGCAATATGATCTTGGATACAAATGTAACTTAGGGAACTCTTGAATCAAATGACAAATTATCAAGGGTGCAGACTACTTTCTTTTCATTTGATTTTGAGTTTCCCGAGAATGAAATGTTTTCCTTTCTTTTTGATATCCCAAGTCCTTCATTGACCTTGTGTTTGTGAAATCCCAATGTCTCGCATCCTACCAATTTGGATGAACTCCCTTGCTTGAATATCTTCGAATGAACAGATATAGGTTTCCTTAAACCAACTTGAATGAGTCCATGCTTAAACGTCTGCATGTCCTTAACTCAAAACCCTAATCTTCCGTACAAAGATTTTAAATTTTAATCTCAAAACATTGAAATGAAATCTGAAGAAAGTAGATGGTACCGCAAGTAAACCAATCGACCAGATGAAGAGCTTCATATTATAAGGCATACAAACCCTAATTCATAAAGAAGGTCCAACTAAATCCTCTTCTCTAGAATAAAGTTGTTTCCCACATGACTAGAGATTCAAGCAATGATTTCCTTCTTATTTTCCAAATATATATCAATTGAAACCCTAGTTATTCATGGACGATATCCCCTGATGATAGCCTTTCCTGATAATCACAACTTCGCAGAGAAACTTCTCTTAAATGGTACATGATTTAGAGAAATAAACCTTAATCAAAGGATGACGTTGAGCACAAGGAGATAATGAATGCCTGATTTAGTAGCCCTTAGATGACCTCATAGAAAAACTTGGAAATGAACATGGGAACACAGAAAGAAATATGACCAAGATGGACATGACTTAAAAAACCTAATGAACCTCGGTTGATGAAATGCTGACAAGCACAAACTTGGTGGAGAAAAACTATGACTCTTGTCTTGAATGCATATGAATGAGTAATAACCCCCTTAACTTGAAGAGAACGGAACCCTCAATAAGCATAGGTGACAACCCTAATTCCACATTTCATTGTTTGAAGGATAATCAGAAGAATCAGGCTTTATTGGATACGAACACCTTAACCACTACGAAACCCTAATATCGCACAACCACTGAACTTTGAATCTCAAGCTCTTCCGAATGCAAATGTATGTTAATGACTTAATGGAATATATACAGATGAATGCAAGAGTCTAAGCCAGATAGAAGAAATTAGGAGGGAAAATTTTGGGGTGCAACAATTGCCCCTATTTAATCGCCTTCAACCTGAAGGTGAGATTGGCGTTAGCCTTTCGAACTTTCAGGGTGGAAGAAGATTAAATACTTAAAGAACCCGAAAATTTGCACTCCAAAGCCAGTCAAGAATACATTATATTTTTGGTTTTCTGTATTTTCTATTTTCTTTTTGCTTTTTGGGTTAAAGGGGTTATCAGGGATAAATGTATGTCGGACCAGGGTTAGACACACAGAAAAAAGATATCAAAAGATATATGCCCGAAATCACTAGCAGACATGCGAAAAAAGGTATCAAAGATACATATCCAGGGTCGGTAGTGGATACGTACGAAAGAGATAGACCGAAGAAGGCTCTTACAAAGATATCAAGAATACACGTCTGGGGTTAGTGGCAGACACGTATGAAAAAGGTATCAAAGATACATATCTGGGGTCGGTAGCAGATACGTACGAAAGAGACAGACTGAAGAAAGCTCTTACAAAGATATCAAGAACACATGCCTGGGGTTGGTAGCAGACATACGAAAAAGGTGTCAAAAATACATATCCGGGATCGGTAGCGGATACGTACGAAAGAGACAGACCGAAGAAAGCTCTTATAAAGATATCAAGAACACATGTCTGGGGTTGGTAGCAGACATACGAAAAAGGTATCAAAAATACATATCCGGGATCGGTAGCAGATATGTACGTAAGAGACAGACCGAAGAAATATCTTACAAAGATATCAAGAACACATGTATGGGGTTGGTAGCAGGCATACGAAAAAGGTTTCAAAAATACATATCCGGGGTGTGTAGCGGATATGTACGAAAGAGACAGACCGAAGAAAGCTTTTACAAAGATATCAAGAACACATGTCTGAGGTTGGTAGCAGACATATGAAAAAGGTATCAAAGATACATATCCAGGTTCGGTAGCAGATACGTATGAATGAGACAGACCGAAGAAAACTCTTACAAAGATATCAAGAACACATGTCGGGGGTTGGTGGCAGACATACGAAAAAGGTATCAAAAATACATATCCGGGGTCGGTAGTGGATACGTACGAAAGAGACAGACCAAAGAAAGCTCTTACAAAGATATCAAGAATACATGTCTGGGGTCGGTAGCAGACACATAACAGGAAAGAGACCAGAGGAAAGGACTCTGACCAAGGATATCAAGAAAATATGTCCGGAGGAAAGGACATATATAAGGAAAGAGGCCGGAGGAAATGACTGTAGCCAAGGATATCAGGAATATACGTCTGGAGGAAAGGGCATATAACTAAGGATATCGAAAAAATATGTGGAGCTTTAAGAGTTGCAAATATGCAAGAACTATAAAATCCATCGGGCCAAAGGCGGGGTGTAATTCTTCAAGAGTGGCAATTATCTGGATTACCACACACCAAGTATGGATACTCAAATACTTGAGAAGCAAGAAAGGCTATACGCCGACTCTTACTCGCACTCTTAATGTCAAAGATAAACACAGGAAAAATGACCAAAGGCTTTCAAGGGTAAGAGAGAATCACGACTTACTAAGACAATGGGAAATACCAAAGCCCGACTGGTGGTAAGTCAAACAGACTCCGCTGGGGAAACAAAATAGAATCACCCTTGGGTATCTTGTGGGGATAATTCAAATCTGAATGCATAACAATATGGTTACTGCAAATAAACATAATTAGCTTATACTCATGCATGTTTGAATTTCTTATAGCGTAATGCTCCATACAATGGAAATGCTACGCGTTTTGACAGATGCAATGTAATTATGCATGTTTAGTAATGCACTAGGGAAGACACGTCAATAATCGGCTACTGGGAAGATAATGAAATTCCGAATGATTATTCTCGCACATCTGATCTTCTATAGAGAAAAGGAAATCTGAACTTCAATGAGGCACCGAGACTCGGAACCACAAACCTCTAAAGATTGATATCACTGGGGAAGTAACTTCCTGGGAAGAATACTGCAAACATAAATTACAGTTCAGAGAAAATCTTGAATTCTGATCAAACTCCCAACTTCACCGGGAACAAATTCGTTATCCTCTATTGGAAAGAGGAAAGCTTTGCTGGGAATAGAAACTTATGGCATGGAAACTATTTGACGAAGATAAATTCTATTGGGGATTATAGAAATTCTTTAAAAAAAAGGGATATCTCAACAAAATCTTCTATCACTGGTAACGAAAGAGTTATGACTGGAATTCTCCTGTACACCTCACTAGAGATATGGGACACTTGCTCCACTAGGGAAAGAAGAATAGTTCCACTGGGGAAATTGGATCTCATTATACGAAAATCCTCATGTTGGTCACATACATACCCTTCTTGATTCATTTGTTGGTATGCTTCTTGTCATAAAAGACCAACAGTACTTGCAAAAACAGAAATTGGGGCGACATGCCCCTGTTTGGAATGGAAAACTTTACTGAAGAATAGATAATTTGAACTACCAATCACCGGGTAAAAACCACGATGCAAGATTTCAATTTCAACATGTCGACTCCGAGGAGAAATGCCACTAAAAGTGGACTTTAGAGAAGATGCTGAAAAAATAAATTGCAGTCCAATGAAAAGGGATCAACTAGACTTTAAACAACTTCTACATTTCCAGGGAGAAAGAACATTCTCCTCCTGCAGAGAAATGAGGATGCTTCACTGGAGAGAAAATATCTCAGAAGAGAAACCCCTTGGTAGACAGGTCTTTGTCAAGTAGCAACTGGTCTTTTACTGGGAAGAGGCATCCCGCTAGGAAGCAACATATCCATCGCGTATCATACGAGTAAACAAACCAGAATGATCTTTGTGTTACTGCTCATATCCTATTGAGGATAACAATCCAAACTTTAATTGGGGATAATAACCTTGACTTAGGAAAATGGATATCAGTAAATTGACTTGAGTCTCTGATAAGTCGAAGATAACAATCCTGACATCTCGGTATGATTTTCAGATTCATAGGTTATTTAGCCTGCATATGGACTTGATCTGATCAACCACTGAAGAAGAGAGAAATCCCTTACATAAATTCTTGCCCCAGTCTGTAGGGTTTTTGCAGAAAATTGTTCGGAGAGGACTTTCTGAGATTTATACCATTAAAGATAATCTTCCCCAGTGTTATGAACTTTGGAACATGATGTTTAGATAACCAAAATTGGAGATGATTCCAACTATGCTTGAGTGAATGCCCATACATCTTCAAATTCTGGAAAGATTCTCCTCTGATCAACGCATTCTCAGAGAGATTTGTCAAATATTAGTATAAGTGCCTCAGTTTGACTGCACTTTGAGGGATAAAATCCCGACTTTAATGCCTCAGATTGGATGAATACCTACTCAACGGATTATTTGACACGCTTTCCCCTGCTCAACATAATCTCGACAAACCTTTCCCTTTACCTCATGCTCACAGAGGGATGAGAAACTTGAGGATTTTCGAAGGTAACATAACCTTAGAGTGGTTGGCTTATGTCTTGAAAGTAGGTTACCTCACAACCATACTTCTTGACTTAAACTGCTTCATTCTCGAGCAAATACTTGAAGCAA